AACCCGCGGCGGGAGCGTCGCTGTGCTCCCAGCGCCGCACTCTCCCGAGTGCGCCACGGGCCGGCCTAAAAAGTTGTAATTTAAATAAAATCCCATATAATGCAAAATTAAAGCAATTAGAGGCATTTTTTGTTGTTTTTACAGAACAATGAGATCAAAGCAGATAGCACTGCAACCTTATTTGTTCAGCTCGTTTTCAAGGAAGCATAGTTCATGACTACACAATTTCATGTGAATACACTGAAGTGAAATTGTGAATGTACCCAAAATGCAACATTTCATGAAATAATTGAGAATGATGGAAGAACTGTTAAAAATCTATGAGAATGACTCAACGTTAGAAACCCTAAAAGAAAATGATTTAACTATCCCAGGATTAACAGATTCTCAGAAAACTTTTAAAACCCTTGGCAAAAATTGATTATACTACCAAAAATGCAAAATATGTCTAATAACAATATTATAAAAATATGCTTTGCAAACTTGTTTTGTTTAATGTAAGCATTATAGTTAAAATTATACTAAATATTTAAAGAGAAAAACCATAAGTTTCAAAATTTCCTCAGTTAATTATGAATTTTAGTTCCTTTTTAAAAGTAGATTCAATTTAAGGATGCTTTGCTGGTACCAGTGACCTTTGAATAGGTTCTATCACTATTTTAAAAGCAGAATTGCTTGTATTTAAAAAAACTTTTTATTGAAGTATACTGTAAAATAGTGCACATAAATTTGCACAAGTAACTCATGCAGTAGACATACAGATTCAGAGAAAAGAACATTACCAATGTTCCAGAATCCACTTTGTCCTTCCTTCCAGTCACTATATTACTCCCTCCCAAGGTAAGCACCAACCTAACTTCAAACAAAAGTTTGTTTTTGTACTTCATATTAGTGGAATTGTACAGTACATAGTCTTTTGTCTGGCTTCTTTTGCACAACATTGTTTACTAGTTTTATCAACTTGTTCTAAGTAGTCGTAAAGCATTTATTTTCATTATTACATAGTATTCCATTATGTGAACGTGCCACAACTGATTTATCCATTCTAGTGTTGATGGGCATTTGAGTAGTTTCCTACTTTTGGCTATTACATTTAGTGCTGGTATAGACTTTTACAGTACATGTCTTTCAGTGAACATACATATGTATTTGAGTCTACACCTCAGAGTGGAAGTGCTAAGTACTAGGGTATGTTAAGACTTAGAAGTGCCAAAGTTTTCCTAAGTGTTTATACCATTTTATATTCACATCAACAACAGTTGTAGTTTTTCTACATTTCTGCCAACACTTGGTGTCTTTTTTTTTTTTTCTCCCATTTTAGCTGTTCTGGAGAACATGTAGTGTTATGGAATTATGGGTTTAATATGCATTTCCGATGATTAATGAAGTAGAGGAGTACCTTACCGTGTTTATTGGCCTTCTATCTTTTTTTCTTTTTTAAACGTTGAAGTGCTTTATTTTTTCTGATTTTTTGCTTATGACTTTAGGAGTTCTTTATATATTTTGGATGCGAGTCCTTTGCTAGGTTGTTGAATATGTGTATATATTCAACTCTGTTAATTGCCTTCTCCTTCATGACGTTCTTTGATTAATTAAAAGGTCTTAGTTTTAACATGATCAAATTCATTAATTTTTTTTCCTTTTACAATTATGTTGTGCTGTTTTAAAAAAGTCTTCCTCTTTTCTAAGGTCACAAAGATCAAATCTTCATTGTTTAACCTTTAACATTTAGACTTGAAATCCATTTGGAAATGATTTATGTGTAGAGCATAAAGTGGGTAAAAATACATTCTTTTCTTATATGACTATCCAATTGACCCAGCAATATATATTGAAAAGATCACTCTTTTCTCACTGCACTGCAGTGTCATCTTTGTCATAAACCAAGTGACCACTTATGTGCTTTCTATAGTAGTGACATTGTTTTAAGTGATAAATTCCTGTGATAACTGAAAGTCAAATGCTTAAAGCCTTAATTTAAATTTTCTGGATAATTAAGTTAAAGCTTACATGTATTCTATTGACACAAAGAGGGAAGTGCAGACAAAGAAAAACCTATCAAAAAAGTTTAAAATATTCTGGCTAGTAATGATAAGATAAGAATGAAGGTTATTATCATGTGTTTAGTGCAATGTTTAACTGTTACTAGGGAACTGGGTCCCTACTTTCCAGAAAAGGGGCAAAATTTAAGACAATAAACCCCACCAAAAACCAAAAATATAATTGTTTATGTTCTAGTATATAATCAAGTGCAAAACTGTGGTGTAACCCAAGTATTTGAATTGTTACTAGGGAACTGGGTCCCTACTTTCCAGAAAAGGGGCAAAATTTAAGACAATAAACCCCACCAAAAACCAAAAATATGATTGTTTATGTTCTAGTATATAATCAAGTGCAAAACTGTGGTGTAACCCAAGTATTTGAATTGATTTGGACCAGATTAGGCCACTCACAGTGCAAAACATTAGAGCCTTCATTTTTGTTTTTTACATCTCTTTAATACATTAAATCCATTATCATATCCCGCTCTTATTTCCTTAGATGTGATTTTAATCCACTATTACTGAGTTTTAGAACAGACTAACGTTCTAACCTTGATGCACACCCATAACACAGAGAGATTTTAAAAAATACTGACGCCCAAGCCACGTCAAACTAGTGAAATCAATCTGTGGGTGTAGGGCCAAATCAGTACGGTCATCCATTGGTATCTGAGGGGATTGACTCCCCGAGAATACCCAAATTCATAGATGCTCAAGTCCCTTGGCAGAGTATTTGCATGTAACCGACACACATTCTCCCATACACTTTAAATCATCTCTAGATTAGTTACACCTAATACAAGGCAAATGCTATGAAAACAGCTGTTATACTGTATTTTTAAAAAATGTATTATTTTTGTCATACTGTTATTTTTCTCCTAAATATTTCTGATTGGCGATTGGATGAATCTGCGGATGTTGAACCCACAGATACGAAGGGCCAACTGTACTATTAAATACTTTCAGGTGATCCAATGTATAGCTAAAGGTGAGGACTGCTGAGTTAGAAGGTGCCTTTCATGAGTGGTTCTCAACTGGTGATAGGATTGCCAGATAAAATACAGCACACCTTTTAAATTTGAGATCAGCTAAGCAAACACAAATGCTTCTCAACCTAAAATTGGATTACATCTCGATAAACCCAGCATAAGTTGAAACATGAGAAGTCAAAAATGCATTTAAGTTAAGCCTACCTTACACATGCTCAGAACACTTACATTAGCCTACAGTTGGGCAAAATCATATAAAAAAACCCATTTTATAACAAAGTGCTGAATACCTTATGCAATTTATTGCATACAGTACTTAAATACGGTCTCTGCTGAACGCGTATCATTTTTACAACATTGTAAAGTTGAAAAATCTTAAATTGAACCATTTGAAGGTGGAACCATCTGTACACTGTCCCTCCCCTAGAGGAAATGTGGCAAGGTCTGGAGACATTTTTGTCATGACCAGGGGTTGCTATTGGTATCTACTGGGTGGAGGGCAAGGAATGCTGCTAAACATTTTACAATGTATAAGACAGTGCTCACAACAAGGAATTATCTGGTTCAAAACGTCAGTAATGCAGAGGTGGATAAAACCTACTTTGGAGCAACAAGAGGACCAGTCATAAGAAGAAATAGTAGTGGAATTAAAAGCAGAATTTTGTTTAAATATATGAATTTTAGTTGGTGTTATAAATGACACAGCTCAAGACAGACATGAAGGTTTTAAACTTGAAGACAGAGAACTAGTGTTTGAAGTGTAGCATTCTATAATGGAATTTTTAGATGTATTTCAGTAGATTTGCAAAGAAATTCAGACCATGCAGAGTTCAATGAAATGAATTCTTGTGTTTCTTTATCTACAAAATATGTCAGGAGTATTAGTTAACCCTAAAGTTTAGCCTAAATCCTGCAACTCTGATATTTTTAACCACTTAATAGACTTCTTGATAATGACCACAAAGAGTGAATACAGAAAATATATATAAATATTGGAATCAGTCAAGTTATAGTGCTGACTCTTAACACCAGCTCTGTGACCTTATGTATGCTCCTATGTTTCCCATTCTGTCTACTATGAAATGAGGGATGTGGATGAGATGATCTGAAAGATCCCTTTTTGCATTTAACTTCTATACAAAAATTCCTAAGTTCTTGTCAAAACATAAATTTTACAACAAAAACATTTGTTTTTTCCAGTGATAGGTCTAATATCAATTTCAGTGACTTTTATTTTAAATGGTAGCAAATTTATGTTTAAAACAGATAACTTCATAAATTTTTCTTGGTATAGGGTCCTGATGAAATAAACACCATACAACTGATACCTGAGGTATTTTCTTACTGCAGTACATATTAGTCAACCACTTTTTACTATTATCACGAGTAAAAGTTCCTTGGGTAATATTTCCAAAAACTGAATCTCGCTAAAACACTTCAGAAAAATTATTATTTTTTAAAAATTGGTAGCTACTGCTTAGCATGCTATTTGTTTCTAGAAATTCCATTAGAAAGCAAGATGGTAAAAGGAGTCTCACCACCATGTACCCTACTCCCATGCAATACAGTACAAAGTTATAACCGCCTATAGGGAACAAGTATCATTTTCGACCTGTAGATGGCACTTCATAACTGTTAAAGCAAATGTTTAAATTTCAAGGGAACATGGCTAAAAGAATGGTGCAAGGTAGGAAATGACTGAATAAACAATATACACATTAGTAATAATGAGAGGGTGGTGTAAGATAGTTAACCAAATAATTCCTGGTGGTGAAGAGCTGTCCTTTGCACTGTGGGATGTTTAGCACCATCCCTGGCCTCTACATAGTGGATGTTATAGCACAACCCTCTCCTTCCCCTGCGCCCAAGTTGTGACAATCAAAAACGTCTTCAGGAATTGCCAAATTTCCCAAGGGGACAAAACTACCCCAATTCAGAACCACTGAGAAAGCAAAAGCTATTCAAATGGGTGATCTACAATTGTGTATAATCAAAAGGGTTAACATCACTAACAATATTAAGTGAAAAAAGCCAGACACAAAAGTGGGCATATTATATGGATTCATAAAGCATCAAAATAAACCAAATCAATTTATGCTATAGAGAATCCAGATAGTGGTTACCCTTGGGGAGGTTGGAAGTGCCTGAAAGGGAGAAGGATGAGTCTTTGAGGTGTTCTGTGTTTTGATCTGGGTGCTGGTTACATAGATGAAAATTTATCAAGCATGCCTGACACGTACATAAACATACAAACACACCAACAAATTTTCTTTTCAAAATGTTATGGGAATCACTACATCATTTTCATAATAAATGAAAATTTTGTAGCTCTTATTGTCTGGATCATAAGCAACACTTATGCAGTTACATGTTAACTAAGCAGAGTTTTAAACCAAGTTGTTATTAAAAAGTTGGTCATCGCCATGTAATCCTTTAAAACAAGTGTTTCATTAAAAATACAGAAAAAAGTCTATTTCAATTAATTAATTTGGTAGAAGTTACTTTTTTCCTGAGATTTGTCTGTTTCTATTGCTAAAGCCTGACAAATGAAAGATGATTCTTTTAAAGTCTATAATGCTGTAAAAACAAGCTCTGTCACAAACGAGGCACTTCTGTAAAATATCAGTTTCCATCTATTGCTAAAATTGGAGAAATATGATTTGGCAGCTGAGGTATAGTTTTTTTCTGAAAATAAACTATAATTATCCCTCTCAACTCAGGAATTAAGAGATTAAATTATTTTTTTAGTACGTAAAGGATGAGATCCATATGCTTTTATATATAGAGATGTATTATCTTTCTTCTTTTCCTACACATACATTATTTCAAAGCAATACTAAGACTAGTACCAGAAGGCTTAACAGATAAGAAAAAAATTAGAAAAAGCAAAATCTACAATGAATCTAAGAATTCTCAATTGCACTATTAGAGAAAAACTTTAAAAAGATTAACGTTGTAGTTTCTTAAGAATCTTTAAGAACTATACTTTAAAAATATTGCAATGAAAAAACACGTTATCATAATCAAATCTGTGATTTATTTTGAAGAAAAATAATTAAAACTGAGGTTTTTTTCAATAAAAGGGAGAAATAACAATAAGAGATCATACCCTGGTTACACGTTAATTACCACGTTCTGTACAACGTGGATGTGCTCAACATGTAATCAATGATAATATGAATAATGAACGTTTTCAATTTTAAAATCTCAAATCATTTGCCAATGTTGCAAATTCATAAATGTTGAAGTAAGTACCTAGAAATAAGTATATTTTAAAAACTGAAGTGTTTGACAGTATTTATATATCAATCCAAAAGTTATAAATAGTACAGCAAATAAACTGACATTACTTCTAGTTTCCACTTAATTTCTTCATAATATGGCTGTCTGGTGTTGCATTAGTGAAGATACTTCCTACAATCACATGGGTACCCCAGAGACTATGACGAATCACTTTACAGCAGCCAAGATCATCGACATAGAATCCTAAATGTCGGTAGCGTTCATCTGTTTCAAAGAGAGTGTTGTTTGTATATGGTCCAAAAAACTGGAGGAAATAAGAAATGAATATTTCCATTAGCAAGAACAACTTTGTAGTAATAATTTCTAAAACAAAGATAACAAATTATCCATTTTTAAATTCCAAATATTTAAAAAATCAAATATGAAATAAAAAGGTCACATGTAACACCTAAACTTCCTTAACAACCTCTTTCTTCCTAATACCTGAGCATGATCTAGCAAATTCCATGTTACCTAGAATCAAATGCATAACACTACACAACCATTAAAGATAAAATAAACCTTAGAGATTCACCTAGGGTTCATCTTTATCACTTTAAAGATAAGGAAACTAAAGCCCAAAGCAAAAGTTTTTATTTCTAATCTTATACTACATCTTGTCTGTCTTTGAGAAGAAATAGCATATATTTCTATTTTAAGATTAAAAAAATGATTTTACTACTACTTGTAATTGAAGGATATATCCAGAATTTAAAATGTTACCACAATGGTGGCTCAGCTATTTTCTTCAAAGTATAACCTTATAAATATTCTAGAATGTTACTTTTCTAAATGTCTTTCACTATCTATATTTTTTTCACTTAATTCTAAAAATCAGTTTCTTCCTTAAAGAAAGTAGATCATGCTGATTTCTAATTTCAACTGAGTAAACATACCAATTCAATACAAATCAAATAATAACTACTAGAAAGGGGGAAAATTAAAAACAATTTATTTTAATACAAAAAAATAAAGTGATGGACAAACTAAACTGTGAGTGATGGAGGTCCATCAAAAGTTGTGAATGCAACTGACTCATAGCAGTAGTACATCTTTGCGTAAAATTGTGAGATTTTTAAAAGTCTTAAATAATCTATTTTAACCAAGATAATAATTACAATTTTTACAACAGACACCATTCTTACATCATATAATCTGGCTTTCAAAATGTATTTAATTACTCACTGCCAAACCAGATGATGGGTCAATAAAGTCAGCCCAATAGCCTTCAGCTCGAAGAGCATAGCAAATTTCCTTAGCACCACTGATGAACTGCACAGAAAAAGGTATATATAACATGCTCAAGATAGCATCACCACGGATTGTTTTATTTTTAAGTAAATTTTTAAATGAATTTCTTTTGCCTCAAATAGAGAACTCAAGAAGATTAATAAAAAATAAAAACTAATTATAAATTATATTACAAACTCTTATATAAGATTATTTTCACCACTCCAAAAGATTCAGCATTAATATAACATTTTTCTTTCAAAAGTCTTAAGTTCTATATATTTTTTTCTAAGTTATTTCCTATTTTATGAAATATTTCTAATCAATTCTGAACTATCAACTCCCTAATTTGTCATTAATTATAAACTATAGTTGCTATTTTGCATCATTATGGAGATATTAAAAATAGGGAAGAAAGGGAAAATAAAATATTCACAATAAAAAGATCTAAAACATTAATTACTTTGAATAAAAGCTGCTTAAAAACACATACTTCAAAACCATCTATCCACTCACAGTCATAAAACTTTTCTGAAAAGGCATATAAAAACAATAGAACTGGATAGGTGGTATGGGGGTAAACAGGATGCTTACTTCTCATTATATATCATTTTGTATCTTTTGTATAGTGGGTAATTACTACGGACCAAGATTTTGGTCTTACCATCCTAATTGCTATGATGTCTTTATTAGTTTTGGAAGTCTAAGTAGTAAAAAAGATGGTAGCACATATTAAGACCAGATTACAATGCTCAAAAAAAGAACGGATCACAAATGTTTAAAAAAGAGGGCAATGTTCCAATTCGGGCTACAACAGAGTAACGTGTACTGATTTCGCCATCCCACTGAAAACTATAAAACTGATCAAAATGTATGAGGCAACTATGTTTAGATCCTGAAACATTCAGACAAGACTATCATTATCTTTGCAAGAAGGGAAACAAAATAATCCCCATAACTACTCCAGCTTTCTGTCTGCGACACTTTTTTGTCACAGGGCAAAGTGGAGCCCATGCAAAGCGATGGTATCACTGAGCCGAGAAGGTAGAAAGCAAGAATTTGGACTGTTGAAGCACGTGGAATTTGTAGATTAGGGTGCTGGGAAATAAAGAGATGCACAAAAAGGGCTCCTGTTCAGTCTGCAGAACAATTCACCTTGGTTCCTCAGCCAAAGGCTAAGCTGTGCATACAGGAGGCGAGATTCCATGAGGCTTAGCAGAGATTGACAGCTGTGGAGCTGAGAGTTCAACAGTAATACCAGGGGTTAGGCAGTGACGGGAAACACGGATTTTTGGCCCATCCAGAATGAAGAGACTTCACTAACCATGTCTGGCATTCAGGTGAGATACTCAAAAGTTCAAGCCTTAGAATGCAGGATATATCCTAAATCAGATGCTAGTAAGCTTGCTATAGCTATAGCCCTAGGGTCAAACCTGGCCTGCTGTCTGGATAAAGTTTTACTGGAACACAGACATGCTCACTGACTTACATACTGTCTATGGTTATTTTAACAATACAAGGTAGAGCTGAGTAGAGTAGCTGAGATGCAATGACCTATACAAGCCTAAAATATTTTACTATCTGGCCCTTGTTAAACAGTTTATGAGAGGCCATTGTTTTGGACTAGCCTCCTGTATAAGGCCCCAGCAGACTAGATCAAACCAGCATGGAGTCACTCATGCTAGATGCCGCATAATCAGTAATCAAACTCAACTGTCAAACAGGCTTTTCAAAAAACCCAAGAGATTCACAGCAACCAATCAGAAGGGGCCTGGTATACCTAAGCCTGCATGATACCAAAGTCTCTGTGGTTTATCATATAAGGAAATTAACTTTGTAACAATGAATCTGCTTTTTGTTCCGTTTCTGCTTTCTACAGCCATTTTCTGTCTATATTCTCAAAAAAGACGTAAATCTTTTAATACTGAAATACTTCAGCAGAGAATGAACAAAGGCTAAAGACACTCATCGTTTTAAAACACTGGTTCAATGGTATTTAAATAAGATCACAAAATTAAATTGTTAGCAATTGAAAAAATTACCTTTTCTAAGAGCATTTCTCTTTCAGTTTCTACCTCTTCACTCCAAACAGTCATATCATTCTTAGTTTTCTGTGTTACAGTGAGAATCATTAGTTTGCTATTAGCCGTTTCTGGAAATAGTGATTCAAAATCTATAAATGAAATAAGAATAAAAATTCCAAGGAGAAAATAATTTCCTTTTTAAAAAAAGAGTGCATAAAAATACTTCTTTAGAAAAATGATGATTAAGTTAAATTATTATGGTATTAGTTTTATAAATGCATATTATTTTTGAGAAAAGTAAAATAAACTTAGTTTTGTTTATGTCTGCTTTTGTTGGATGAGCTGAAATTCCACTGCCAACAATTCTGAAGGGTAAGTAGTTACTTGTTATTAGCATTAACATAATTTTCAAAAAAGTTTATGATTAAGATTTTTCTCAGTATTATATATTAGCTCCTGAAATTATACCTATAATAATCACACAGGAGTAGAAATGACTTAAATTAAACTTTAGGAAAATGTTATTAAAAATTCTATTCCCATCTAATAGCAACATAAGGTCAGACATCAGGGAACATTTGAAAGACTTTATCTTGGCCATGCAATCATTTCCAGCCAGAAACATTAAAATATTAAGGTACAGAGCATTACAATTCCTATAGAGTACATTACTTAACACATTAAAAAATTAGTAACATTATCTAATACACATCAGTGTTTCACTGTATAAAGGATGACATACCTCTTCGCAGCAATTCTGGACATGTTTGGATTGCACACTCCACCCTGTAGAGCATTACAATTCCTATAGAGTACATTACTTAACACATTAAAAAATTAGTAACATTATCTAATACACATCAGTGTTTCACTGTGTAAAGGATGACATACCTCTTCGCAGCAATTCTGGACATGTTTGGATTGCACACTCCACCCTGGCACTTTCAAAGTAAGTTTCCGCACTATTAATTTCTTGTTCAATAGGTGCATCACTACCCTACATGGAACAAGAATATAAGTAAAAAAAATTTGGAGTTCAATCTTGCCTGTTATAAATTTGTCTTGTTAGAAAGCTTTAAAAAAATCAGGTGCATCACTACCCTACATGGAACAAGAATATAAGTAAGAAAAATTTGGAGTTCAATCTTGCCTGTTATAAATTTGTCTTGTTAGAAAGCTTTAAAAAAATAATTCTAATCAAGTGTGTGTGTGGCGGGGGGGAGTGAGGTAACAATGTTTTCCTATATTGAGGGTACTTCAAAAAGATTGTGGAAAAATAGAATTAAAAGTAATACAAATCTGTCCAAGAACTTTCTGAAACTTTTCTCTATAACAAACATAAAATTTGAGAGTTCTAAAGAAATTTTGAACAAAACAGAACACAAATATATAAATATACTGATATGCTATGACTTAATATGAACAGCATTTGGCAAAGAAACTGAAATGCCATAATTGTGTCTTACAATGTTACCTCTTCTGATATTTTATGATAATATCATATTCTTTTCTTTTGTGCCATAATTTGTAAAATGGGGGTAACACTAATGTGGCACGGTCCACGCCATGGCGGGGTCTTGAAAAGAATAGCTTGGGCTGCCCTTTCCGAGCTGGCAATGCCGCCGGAGGGAGAGCTGCTGGCAGGGCCATGGCTACGAGCACTTGCTTTCACTGTAAAGATCTCTGCCTTGACACAGTGGTGCTGCTTTTGCTTTCTCTTTTGATGTTTTGGTCAGCGTGGCAGTTTCCTGAGTTTCCAAAAGATGCAAAAAATGACACACAAACAGTTGCTGTCATAAAATTAGATTATCCCACAAAAGATTCGGGAAGATTGAACAATTCCAAATTGTCCCTTTTGAGTCAATTTATTACACCAACAGATGTTTTAAAAACACTTTATGAGCAGCCATGAGCAATTGTTTTTACCGAAGAAAATTAATAAACAATAGAAATCCCCATCCTCTTCCCACCATCTGGGTAAATGGTTATATGGGTTATAAAATGGGAAAAGGAAAAAATTGGTACCTCCTAGGGGACATCCTAAATATGACTTAAGTTGGCAAACGTCATTTACAGGGGATCACATTAATGGTAAGAGAATGGTTGGAATTAATGGAAAAAGATACTATAGGAAGAATTAAGTTTATGAGAAAGAATGTGTAGAAACCCTGTTATTCACTGGTGTCCTAAGTTAAATAAAAACATCTTAGTAAGATATTGGGATAAAAACATATGTTGCACAACTTTCCCTCCTAAAGATAAAGATTATAGATGGAATTTTGAATGCACCTGGTTTTGTGAGGGATGGTGCTGTGCACTTTGACACTTTACACTGGGCCACACAGCCATTATATTAAGTACACGCATGATAAAGCTGTTCAAATATCCTTTATTCTTTTTCCAAATGAACAATAGG